AATGACTGAATAGCCTTGCGTTTGGCGTACATTTGTTACTTCCTGTTTAGTAAACGTGTGCAGTCTGGATCCTGGAAACAGGACACGCTATAGTGCGGTTAGACCCAATAGCATCATAAACAAAATTGGGCTTTGGTGTGCTGCTATAATCTATCAGTGATGTCATAGTCTAGCGGTGTTGTCATAGTCTAGCAGTGATGTCATAGTCTAGCAGCGATGTCATAGTCTAGCAGTACTTCTGCTCGATTCTGACAGGGGTAGAATTATGGTGCAGTTGCTCATGCATCGTGCTGTGAACCCAGCAAACGTGTTCAATTCCCTGGCCACCGCTGACATCGGCGATATCGCGTGTAACCTCATCCCATCTGCGTGGAGACATCTGCCATGGGGAATGGAGGAGCTCGACTGGTCATCGTGGCCTGCAGGGGGCTCTGGCATTGAAGAGGAGGGTGGGCGTTGCAGGAATCAGACTGGAGAGGCGTTGAGTAGTTTATCCTGATTACAATGATCATACCTGCAACATTTTGCGTGACTTAACCCCTTTTCCGTTCCGAGACGTTCACCGCTGAATCTCGGAACGCACAAGTAGTTCAGCGTTAATTTGATTTAGCGAGACATAGCGCCACCGTTTGTAAAGACATTGTACTCACCGTAGAAAACTGTAGCGACACAACCACACTCCACGACAGCTGGCGCCAAACTGTGCCACGCCCTCCCGCATGGTCTTTTACCCCCGTTTCCCAATGGCGGAGCCGGGATTTTCAGGTAGTGGGGGGCAACCCCTCCAGCAATGACAAATGATAGAGGAGTTGTTAGTAAGTAAGGACCTGTCCCTTGCATTTTATTCGACGCGTGTGCGGCGATGGCGCAGCCATCGATCGAGGGTCGAATTCGAACCGCGTTGTGTGATCGGCATCGCGCTCGCTGAAGCTGTTGATGCCTTCAGGGAAGTCGTGTCCTGTATACACGCAACTGCGCACAATTCTTAGTCACTTATAACTGCTTTGCCATTACTTATTCCCAATTATGGACTCAGACTATTGTCCTATCATCTCTTAGAATTCCCTGGCACGTAATAATATGCCACACAGTGGCAGTGGGGGTTGCAAAATGCCGATTTATTACTAATAACCTAAACATCACGTTGATATTGGCAACATTTGACTCACGACGATCAGGGGCTTCCATGCACTCATTTTGCTTCCATGGAACCAAAATTGCTACAATTTCCTGCGAACACAGTCCAGCTTTTGCACATTTATCAAAGCTGGTTTAATGCCCACGCCGTTATACAACCTACATGTGGATATAGATGATTTATCAACAATTCTGGGTGCTCATGAGCGATATTGCCCGAGGACTTGCATTTGAGAACCACTAATCTATAGCACTACCCCAGGCAGTAATGGATTTAGGTGGACTACGTTGGCTTTCAATCACTCCTTTTTGGATCCGGCTTAGGGCCTGGTTATCGACCGTGACTGGTCAACGTTCGACCCCCCGATGGCATGGTTTTAGAGGCCCTTTTCACACCAGCCATACTGACTGTAGCAAGCCGATGATCAGCAAATCTCCTCTAAGTTGATTTTGCAGACATCGAGTAGCGTAAGTCGTGAGTGCGCGTTCGTTTGTTCTAGATGTGATACGGGGTCCGAGTGCCAATGGTTATGGCTTAAAGAGGCAAAAAATACTTTACCTCACATTTTTTTATTCTCTAGAAACACGTACAGGGACAATTTCAGATTGTTTTTTTTCCCAAATACCAGTCCTCGCAACCCACCACTTATATTATTATTATAAATGATCTCCATTCAAACACAGATAAGGGCATTAGGTACTGCTCGCCCTCACTGATTTGTAAACATGCACCACCTCCGATTGGCACGATTGGATACGTACGGTGCTAACGAGGTTCAACATACGTACATGCACACACAGTGCAGAAGGTGCTGCTTGATATCGAATGAATCGGCAATGAAGTGCGATTGCAGCGGCTTCATCGGTGCATTTTACCACCAAACAGCAACGTTTGGATGTTAAACATAGTCAGGGTACCTCATCGTCATGACAATCTAGCACTGATGAATTATCGTACGTTGCCTCACCATTCCAGTGAACGTCCCACCTACGTTAGTTACTTTTAGACTGGCAGTTGTAAGGAGAAGATTGTTCCCGTCTCAACCGTTGTCCACCTCCCACGGGATCTTTAGAATTTGTGTGAAGTGACAGAATGCTCTTGGGGGGCCAAGTGTGACGGTCTTAAGGTTTCGAACCAACAATTTTGATATCCCACGACTAAGCCTTTGGGTAATCATCCAAGGTTACACAAAGTAGACCTCATACGCAGCAAATTTGAAAGTCTCAGACCAATCCCCCAACAGTGGCACAAAACGTGGCCTAAATTGGCATTTACACTTCATTCGGTTTTAGCTATGTTCTGAGGGTATAAAGACAGGAAAAAACCCGACATCCCCGAACATAGTTGAAACACACAATCTTCCGCGCAGTCGGCGATCGCGTACCAGGGGTGACAAAGATAAGCCTATTGAATCGAGGCCCGGGCGAAGCCCAGCGGTATCTGATGCCGGAGTTGTTCCCTGCCGAGCCGTGTGCGCCTCTGAAGTCGGCCCGGCTGTTTCCGGTGATGGAAGGAGCCTCGCTCTCTAACGGATGTCAGGAGCACAATTGGAGGGGCGGGAGGGGGGGGGTTGCGGAGTAAAAAATATAAAAAGCTCCGTACAGTTCATGCATTCCCTGTTCAGGGGGGCACACTCTCGCGCGGGCCCACAAACTGTTACTGTGCCGGTGCTTTCATGAAAACCTCTTTATTTTTAAATCCTTTATTTTAAGTTCACTTGCTTGCTTGCTTGCGCGCTTACGACCGTACAAATCTTTCGGTCGTTTTTTAACCCACTTCCCGTGATCCAATCGAGCTGACATTTTGCACACAGACTCGTTGTGCGTGACAATTTATTTTCGTGAAAATTTTTTTCCTAAATTTTACACTGTTTATTACCAATTGCTTAATGGTCGCAGGCAATCATCTGACCCATAGGTGGCAGCCATCTCAAGCCAGAGGACGAGAGGACTCTAGCCGCCACGCATATAAAGGATTTATAGTGAAAAACTTTGTTTTTACGGGTTAATTTTTTTACAGGTTAACCGAAGATATATCATTTTTTTGGTTCAAAAGAGTGCATCATATGCATTGCTGCAGACGGAGCATGGTCAGTGTCATGTGTTGCGGTCGAAATCATTCTCGGTTCACTTCTAGCTTTCTGAGGTGAGAACCACTTTCACCCCATTCATTTGACCGCTCCAGAATGCACCCGATCTCATCAAGATCTTGGAAGCTAAGCAGGCTTGAAACCTGGTCAGCAGGTTGGATGGGTGATCAACATGCACCACGGGTTGTCATGGGCAACTGGTGGGTTACACTACACAGAGGGCAGTGCAGCCACATCCACTATTGTACTATTCTTTGTGTACTCCCACAGCCATGCTACCTGATACAGCTATCGTGCTGTGACGGTTCCACCTGAAGACGGAAGCTTGTGTTGCCTCCGAAACGTCGTAATTTTTAATTTGATTTTACTTTTATTAATTTTAATTTTTTACCTACGTGACTTTACCGAAAAAACCTAAGAATATGCTACCTGCCCTTAACTCTCACTGGCCAGCATGGTGAAATTGGGTCAAATAAACCCAACCGGCCAGCAAGACGTGGTAGCAGTGGAATGACAAAAAGGCTGTACGTGTACACGTGGTGAGGTTAACTCAGACTGAGAAGAATAATCAGAGGACAGCCTTATTCGACATGTTTGTCGGGTAGGGCAGGACTGGCAGTCGACCCCAATGTGTGTCCTTGTCAGCGCAAGGACCACCAACTCTGCCAACATTAAAAAATAAATATTAAATATTGGGGGCTCTAAACATGTTATTCAGTGATAAACGCTTTGCCGTTTCAATGGCAGGAATGCTTGTAAAATTGCGAGTCATTAAATGTGACTCATTGACTTTCCACGTGTTGAAATAAAGCAAGCAAAATAATAATACATTGTAAAAATTCAGAGAGAGAAATTAGAAAATAACGTACAAACTCTGACAACGCTTCCAATGTCTGCACATCATGCAAAAATATAACTTAACTTTTTTTTTAATCACTGTGTATTTCATTAGATGTTGGTCAATACTTGTAAACATTGCTATTCAGCGTCATACTCCAGTGTTATCCACAACTGCAGCACTGAAATAAATTCCTAAAAGCATGTTAAACCCTGTAATATACGGCAGCTTAAGTTTGGGAAAAGCCTCTATTCACTTAATTATATTTAGAATGTGCTTGAGACTTTGAGGTGATTTCAGGTATAAAATATACAAATAAGTTTGCACTTAAAAGCATGGTTTTGAAAGTGCCACAAAATATTTTAAAAGTTAATTTTGCGCATGAAAGAAATAAGCTTTAGAGATTTGTATTTTGGTGTTTATTTACTTCATAAAATCATCACCTTTTCGACAAAGTGTGTTTTTAGAATTGTAAACCTGGCTTTTTTTACTTGTTTTGGAGAAAACAATTGTGGTTTTGAACTATTTGGTATTTGATTGCGTTATCGCAGATTGGTTTATGGGATGGAGCAGTTTTAACCACAGAACACAAATTTCGGATTGGCAGTAGGATTAATAAGAACAAAAAATACATTGCGTGGCCAGTTTTAAGTTTGCGCACGTAAAGGCACATTCCCTCTCATTTTTGAGAAAGTCCATGCGTGCGTTGGCGAAAGACTAACTTGCATTTGCGAAAAAAATACAACTCGTCTTCAATGCGCGTAACGATTTTGAACGAATGTATTTTGTTTTGTATCCGTGAAATGTTGTGCAACACGATATTCGCTCGCACTTGCGTGCGTGTTTGTGTCCAAAGGCAACGGAACCTCCGTCTTGTTTTGTGCGCGTGGGTACAGATCTGCGTTAATGCAAAATGTTTTTTTTTCCCCCTACAGGATATCTCGGGTTACTCTGCCACTCTTTTGCAATGCAAACTATAAACAACTTTTGTTGTTATTTTACCAGGTAAGGCCCTACTGAGCTATGTAGCTATTTTTCAAAAGCAACCTGGCTATCACAAGTGATAGCTCAACGAAGCGGCTCATTATAATGTGGACATTTACATCGGCCAAATTACTCTAAACGCCTGTTTCTAAATGTGGACGGGAAAACCCGGAGGACTTGGAGAAAAATCCATGCGACCACGAGGCAGAACATGCAAACTCCAAATATACAGCAGCAGGCGTCAAGATCGGGATCGAACCCACGATCTCCTGTATACCAGGCGAAGAAGTTGATTTATTGCCACCGCTGCCTGCCTTCCACTCTTCATAAACACGCACGCACTCTTACAACCAACTCCGCGACATTGCCCTAAATTCATGAGCGGCAGCAGCCACGGTCAATGCACTGGTGGATGGAAGCCTGCCCCAAGCTGTTGCCACCTCTCATGGTCGGGCGATGTAGCGATCCATCTCGCTCTTGTAAATGGGGTTGATTTCATCGCTGCATCTCTGCACCGTCCCTCCGTTGGCTCCCACTCAAATGTCGGTCGTCATTACAGTCATCTTCCTCTAGGACGCCACACTTGAAAAAAAGCAAATTCAGCAATAACTACATTGGCACAATTAAATTATATACAAAGTAGGTTTTTTATATTTTTTGTTACTAACAGGCATTAGATAACGTGCCCACAGTCGACGGACGGTCAACTAATTTACGCAACATTTTCCACGTGCAACTTAAGTAATGGACATATTGCAATACAGCTAGTACTCTGTGTGGCAATTATTTATTAGAGTGTTATGGCTGGCTTGCAGTTGACATGCTGACATTGGGCCGGCGTTGGTGAAACGTTGGCCAAGTGCGTTCACCAAAAAAAAAATTTGGCTCGTTGTCGGCATGCGGTCGGTGCTGGCCCAGGGATCGCAGCTGACGTCACCATAACAGGTGTCAATTGAGAGCCCCCCTTACCAGATGTCGTTATGGTGCAAGTGCAGGAGGTAATGCACTCCCTTTAATTAATAATCAACCCCATTGCTTTATACGCCCGTCTCGGCGAAGCTTGAAAACATGTACCCGGTAAATTTAGCCTCGGCATCTGTGGTCCCCGTGGAATCGGTAATAGCTGGGAGAAATCAGAAGAAGAAAACAAGGCAACTTAGCCAATCCACCTGTGCATCATCCGTATGACATCGCCTCAATCGTTTAGTTGGCGGAGTCAAATTAACGACGTCCATTTCACCTACATGACGGCATTGCGGTTCAGGTAACATTACATTTAATAGGTGGGGCAGCAAGGACTCTACCTTCTCCCACCAAGAACAGCACGAATTCTCTCTCTCCCCGTGCCCTCTCGTGGCGAGCAGACCCCTTCCCAACAGCGTGCTTCTCCAGAACACGTTGCCATACACGCAGGAAGGGAATACTGCAGTTGCCGGGAGGGACATGCTCATGCATTCATGATGAAACGTGCGCACGCACTTGTTAAGGCAGTGCCGGATCCTGGATAGTGTTCATATGATGATGTTATTATACTTGGTTACCCAGAAAAGTCTCACTGAATCTCATGACCCTTTTTCAGGAGGGTCCTACCAAGTGTTTTGTAGTCAGGGATTGTGGGGGGGGGGGGCGGACAATCATTGCTCTGTAAATATTCCAATAGCGCAGTGGTTCTTAACCTTTACTGCAGCCTTGCACCCTTTTGAGTCGTAATCCTTAAAACATGTATAATGTTAATAAATGGTGTTTGATAAAACAAAGTAGTTGTACTTACGTGCCCGTGCTTAATTTGTGTTTTCGATAACACTGGTCAACAAAAAAAAAATTCTGGCCTGGACTTTTGCAGCTGTTTTAGACTCATTTCAGGGTGCTGATTCCAAATCTGATCTCAGATTTGCTCTATCATCTCATTTTATGCTATCGGCATACCTCATTTTCATTGATTTTACCCGAAATTAACTCTGTCACTTATGATTGCAAGTTGTTGCGAGTCAGTGACTGCTTTAGTGTTAAAATATGGTGCTGTATTTTTAGGATAGTGTTTATAATATTTTATGTAGATATCTACATTTATTTAATATTTTTCTTCTGCAGTCTTTATTGAAAATGCAATATTTGATATCTAAAAAACCTGATGTGATAGACAAAAACTGATGCCAAATTTGGAATCATCACCCCAAAATTACATTAAAACCGTTGGAATACCTTGTGCCAGAAAAAGTGTGTTGACCAGTGTTATTTACCTTCAAAAAAAAAATCTGTCCGCGTCTCGCACCCGCAGCAAAAGGGCATCTCGCACCCCCAGGGAATGCGTGCACCCCGGGTTAAGAAGAGCCACTGCAGTCGAGTAATGTGGGTCACTTTTTTTTTAAATCTCCAAACGCCACTAAGTACTTGTGTGTGTGAACCACAATTGCACAAGACGGGCGTTGGTTGTAGGCCACCGAGAGCTTTACGGTGTCGACGGGAAGGCAGTTCAGCCCAAATCCACGATTGTTACAGGAATTAAGCTCCCAGCATTTACGGCTCCTGCCTTCGCTAAGCCACATTGGCCGCCGTGGTCAACTTATGGCCCCACGAGCAGCGAGGATGTGGACAGACGACGGTTGTGTCTTTGTACTGTTGTTGTAACGTTCTTGCAAACCCCTACTGACGACATCTGTGAAAAAAAGCTTTATAGCGCATCGGATTCCTCCAGTTTAAATACACATTCTGATGAGGGCCTCATCCAGCAGTGGATTTATGAATGGGTTGTACATTTGCGCGTACAGACATGGCTTGCAAGGCAAGAACGACGACCTGTGCATGGACGTATACGACGGTATAAATGCAGGGTAAAATATGATGCAAATATCACCATTTAAACTATGTTTAATATCGTCTTTTGCATTTTCGATACGATTATTTACGTTGTGTATGAATCTTTATTTTCTGTATGAGTTGGTGATGTAAAGAAAAATGTATTGATAGTTATGTAATGCTGATATGCTTTAAGTGCGTAGGCCCAGGCTGCTGCTGTGTATGTGTACAATATATTGTTTGGTCTCGAGTTCAATCATAACAAATGACGAAGCCTGTATGTGAATTAAATATCTTTCACATCAGAATGTATGTATTGGTTTATAATTGGTTATTAAAAAATGAACTGCACTTACTGTTTTTTTGTCTGTCGTGGAAATGTAGTTTTCATCAAACACCTATTTATTAGCACTGTTCAAAAAAAATACACGGCATAATTTCCTGAACTAAATTGACCATCAATGCCTTAATTCTTTTAGCAAACGTGTTGAATTTCATTGTTTTGCTACCGTTAGAAAATCCACAGATGTCTTTTCTACGTGTTAAACCTTATTCCAGTTTTCAGAAAATATCTCCAGTTGCAGTGCATATGCTTAAAGCCAATCTCCTTGACTAAGTCCCTTTACAATTTATGTGTTTCCCCCCCACGCAATCTGAACAAACCATTTCGCTATTTGAAATTGGTTTTAACCATTCCAAAAACGTTTGCTGTGACGATGTCTGTTTCAGGAGTTGTAGGTTGTGTGTCGTATATGGTGGCGTTGGCGTGGCGTGTCTGCTGCTGCCACCGTTGTGAAATGTTACACGCACACCAAGCCCCACACATCGGGTGTGGAGAAACGTGGGGAGCGGTGGTGCAGCGGTTAGCGCGCTGCGCTACGAACCCCCGGCCACCCGAGATCGATCCCCGCACACGGTCAACACCGGTGACGATTATATGAATTGGTTCTGGGCCTCCCCTAGGTCGACTCGACCTTAAATGAGTACCTGATGCGGTGTGTAAGACATCGCCACTAGGGAGACAAAGGTGGCCGGGCGTGGTGCTGGCCACACACCCCCTCGTGTTCTGTGCCCTCCTTCACAGGGGCTCGCTAATGGCACTTGCCCCAACAGGCTATACGGGGGATCTTTGTGTTTGCACGCACATGGGGGAGGGGGGGGGTGTGGAGGAAACGTCACAAAGTCGTCACAAAAACGTCACAAAGTCGTCATAAACACGTGACAAAAAACGTCACAAAGTCGTCACAAAAAACGTCAAGTCACAAAAACTTCACACAAAACGTCACAAGTCACAAAAACGTCACAAAGTCGTCATAAACATGTCACAAAGTCATCACAAAAAGCGTCACAAGTCACAAAAACGTCACAAAGTTGTCACAAAAACGTCACAAAGTCATGATAACGTCACAATCACGTCACAACCCTGACAGCCTCACCCTGGCGAGAAGAGATGCACGGCTGCCGCCCGGGTGCCACGAGTCACCAACATTTGACGCCAGTGACACAACTGGCCTCTATTCTCATCGCATCTCAACGGGATTTATACATCGCGCTTTAAATCAAGGCGCTTTACAAATAATTAACAACGCTACAGAGTGTGAATGGAATTGATGCGAGCGAGCAATGAGCAAAATCTGTGATGTGTGAATTCGATGAAAATGTAAATGATGATGAAAGGAATGAATGGGGTTAATGGGTAATAACACTGGTCAACACACTTTTTCTGGCATAAGGTATTCCAACGGTTTTAAGGTAATTTTGGGGTGCTGATTCCAAATCTGGCATCAGTTTGTGTCTATCACATCCGGTTTTTGATATATCAAATATTACATTTTCAATAACTGCAGAAGAAAAATATTAAATCAATGTGGATATCTACATAAAATGATATAAACACACTATCCTAAACATACAGCATCGTATTTCAACACTAAAGCAGTCACTGACTCGCAACAACTTGCAATCATAAGTGACAGAGTTAATTTCGGGTAAAATCAATGAAAATGTGGTATTCCGATATCATGAAAATTATGTGATAGAGCAAATCTGAGATCAGATTTGGAATCAGCACCCTGAAATTAGTCTAAAACAGCTGCAAAAGTCCAAGCCAGAAAAAAATGTTTTTTTGTTGTTGACCATAATGAGAATATGAAGAGAGAACAGGGACGGTGGTGATTATGAGGGGGATCTTGGGGTGAGCTAGGGAGCAATGAGTGAGTTTTGAGTGAGCGAAGCTGAAACGAGTGACCGCTTAATGTTAAGGGAGAAGTTTGTTTCGGTGAAGGGGATCGAGAAGAGAGAAAGAGCGAAAGCGTGGATTGATCACAACGAGGAGGAGGGATGAGAGAGAGAGACAGCGAAGAATGATAACGTAGAGGGCCAGAAGGCACGCAGAAAGATACAAGAGTGGCAATACATGGTGGGATAAAAAAATTAACCCGTAAAAACAAAGTTTTTCACTATAAATCCTTTATATGCGTGGCATCGGGGCGGCTAGAGTCCTCTCGTCCTCTGGCTTGAGATGGCTGCCACCTATGGGTCAGATGATTGTGTGCCAGCATTAACCAATTGGTAAATACATATATTTTTTAAATTCCCTAAACAGTGTAAAATTTTGGGTAAATTTTTTCACGAAAATTCATTGTCACGCACAACGAGTCTGTGTGCAAAATGTCAGCTCGATTGGATCACGGGAAGTGGGTTAAAAAACGACCGAAAGTTTTGCACGGTCCTAAGCAAGCAAGCGAACTTAATATAAAGGATTTAAAAAGGGATTTGTAGACCAGGGTGAGGAATTTCAACAGGCAACGGCAGTGCACATTGGGGGAGGTGGGGCACGGTTTGGCTACGTACGGTGCGAAAGAAGTTCAACATACGTAATCAGACATTTCCGTTTCGCCACGCCACTGTTGGGGTCGTGGTCACTGCGTGGACCCCGTGTGATGCATGAACATCGCCGCTACTAGGGAGGCAAAGGCGGCCAGGCGTGGTGCCGGCCTTCAAAGGTTCTCAAAAGTCTGTTAAGGCTATAGGGGGGGCCTTTGTCTTTGTGTGTGCGCAATGGGGGGGGGGGGGGGTCGGTAGTGCAACGATTGGCACGCTGTGCCACCAAGATGGCGACCAAAGTTTAATTCCCGCTCGCGACGACGATCTGAATGGGACCTACGCAGCTTTGGGGTTTGGTGCAAAGTGGGTTTGTGAGATAACGGACCGCAATTCTCGCCTGCCTCGACCCAGTGGAATCGGCGCCGTGCGTGCGGCATTCGTGGTGAAGGTGGCCGGAGGTGGTGGTGGTGCAATGGAGGAGTGACTCGAAATCTAACCGACTCGAAAGAACGACGGACGAATGTTTTTTTTTTTCCGCCGGCACTGGGCAAGCTCCAGTTCAGCAGCGCCACTTGTGTCCCTGGCAGAGACTGCAATAAGAGCCATCGTGTGATGTATTAGTGTGGCCATCTATCCATGTGTTTCATTTTAGTGGTAGGAACTTCCTGGTAACACCAGCCCACAGGGGATTATTGTGTCCGTCGTGCAGGGAGGGGCTGGGTGGTGAGGGAGGGGCTGGGTGGGGGGTGGGCCTGGGTGGAGAGGGGCTGGTCACCCCGTGGTGCCCTTATAAAACTCAACGTTTAACCTAGTCACGCCGGCTTGTGCCCGCCCTCACAGTCGGGCATATTTGCGGAATACACCACGCCGCCGTTGACCCTGGCCATTGACCGAGCAACCCAACGTTCCTACCACCTCCCTCCGCAGGAATGTGTTCACGTGAAAAATATTCAACCTGGAACGTCCTTTGAGATGGAACGGCTTGGCTTGCAAAGATGCTGCCCACGGAGTCGTTTGGAACGTACGTAGCAAACACGAAACAGTGCATGATGTAGGTTTTGTTGGGTTATATCGCGTAAATATAAAAAAAAAACTAAACAGGGTGCTTACATCTTTTTTTTTAGTTATTGAGCTATTAGATTGAAAATGTTTGTTTATAAATCGACCAATCTTTAGATTTCTCTGAGCATCTTCCTCAAAAAGTGTTGGTATATATACGTCTATATACCACTGGTCTAACTTAAAAGCTACATCAAATGAAGTCGTTTCACATCTACATGTTAGTGAACTACTGAATGTTTTTTTTCATATGAAAAAAATTATGGCCCAGAGTTGTCTGGGCTAATTCACGTTCTAGATTTCTCTTCGTCGAGATGTATTCATTGCTGTGCCTGGCCAATTGTTTTTTTTTGTTCACCAAAAGAAACAACGATCCGAGACATCACTGATTCGTGGCTTTGTTGAGGTCCCTACAAAATACAGGGTGCTTCAAAAAAAATGTTAACATTTATACGGGATGATCGTTTTTAATGGAAAAAGATACTATACTGCAACACGATAACAAATGTAATGTTAATAGCTTCAAAATGTCAACGAGTCTCTGCTTGTTCGCCATCATTGTCAACACGTGCCTGGAATCTTCTCCAGGTGGTCTCCAGAGCCGAGAGGAACATTTCTCGTGGTATTGTTGCAAATTTTCAGAAGTGTTAACATTTTTTAAACACCCTGTATTGTGGATGCTATTGTTTGCGAACGCTTACGTATTAATGACAAAACAGTGCATTCATTTATTTATCCACACGCACTTACGAATGTACCAATTTATTTAATTAAGTAATTCACTTGGAAAAACATCCCTCGATGGGATAAAACATCCCAAGGGTTCCATGGTGTAGATCGAAACTTAGGAAATAAATACAGTGCATTCATTCAATCATCAATGCATAGCATTGAGGCATTCATGCATTTATGCATTCATAAATCAGTTAATTCATTCTCACCTTAATGCATATATTCATTCATGCATTTGACAATTCATACATTGGTTCGTGGGCGGCCTGTGCAATGCGTGCAAGCCTGTTTGGCACGGGGCTATATGCCGGTCACGGGGAATGTGATTGCAATATGCAAATTGTATGCACGTATGCTGCACGACACCAACATTGAACAACAACAATCTGGAAAGTGCGCAAAGCATGGAGAAATGCATACTTGGAAGTACAGTACAAGTTGGTCCAGATGACGTGTGACATAAAACGTAATATAGTTTGGAAGTAAAGTTTATTTAAAACAAATGAATATGCGAAGGGTAAAAAAAAGAATTGAGGTCAATTAATTTGGGGTGACAGGAAATCTGGACCGCCCTGTCCATTGAAAAGCAGAAAGAAGAACACGTGGAATAGACACGCGGAAGTTTAAACCCAAGCCGCTATAGAAGGGATGGTGGTCCAGTGGTCGAGACTCGTGACGGACTGTCAGCCAAGGGAGG